GGAACTCGGTGTTTAATATGACTCGACCATGGACATCAAATGATTTTGAATGTCTTTGAGCTCGATCTCGCAGCAAGTCCATGGCCAGGTCGATGTGTTGCAGCAGGAAACACCGAAAAAGTATGAGTTATTCATTTAATAAACACAAGGTCACATATACATAAAAAACACAAAATGAATAGTTCACTTACATCGTCAGCGAGCCAAGCTCCCGCAGTGGTGATATCGTGGAACCACTTGTAAGGGTCCGAGACCGTCCTTTGTCCTATCGTGCGGCTAGCTCTGTAAAAAAGAGGGAAATGTTAAAATAAGCGTAGACGAGTTAGCGTACAGTGCTTTATTAAAATCATACAATACTTACCCGGGAATAATTCTCCTCCACTCTGTCTCGAACGCTTTCCACTTGGCATTGTCTACCTCTCTGAATAAGTTCAGGTACGTCCCATCGATGAACGTCCTCCTCTTGGCCTCAGCTGTGAAGGGGGAAACAACATACTGTGACGGCACTCTCAATCTCTTGCCGACCACTTGCTCCGTCTCGTCAATAGCATGTCTCTTACCCTCAATCACACCGGGCGTCCTCTCGACCTCCGGGGCCATCTCCTCCGCCCCCTCCGTCGCCATCACCTCTGCCCCTCCCGTCGGGGTCGTCACCACGTCCGCCCCTCCCGTCGGGGCCTCCCCCTCCGTCGCCACCTCCTCCGTCCCTCCCGTCGGGGCCACCCCCTCCGTAGTCCCCTCTCCCATCCCCATCGGGGCCACCCCCTCCATAGACAACCACAAGGACTCCAATGTCTCATCACGCCAAAAATGTGGGTGACCCCCCTCTCCATCACCATCTCTGCCACCCTCTCGATCATGATCTCCGCCATCCCCTCTGTCCCCCCATCGTCTGCCGGCTAAATCTCCCCTAAGCGCCGCTACTGTATCCTGAAGGTCAACAACGGAAGACTGTAGTATTCCAACATCATGGGATAGATCGTCAACCCTCCCTGTCAATTCTCGTCCCATATCGTCGACCCTCCCTGTCATATAGTCAACCTTCCCTGCCAGATCGTCGACCCTCCCTGTCAACTCTCATCCCAGATCATCGACCCTCTCCATCAAATCTCGTCGTAGCGCGCCGACCTCCTCCGCTATAAATCCAATCAAACGGGAATACAAATCATCACTGTGCCCCGGAGACACACGGGGGAGGTGTCTGGACGGAGGTGATACCAATGGCGGCAACGATGGCCCCGGCGGAGGTGATGCCCTTGACGGAGGTGATGCCAAAGGCGGGGACGATACTCTCGGCGAAGATGATGCCAATGGTGGCGGCGATGGCCCCGGTAGATGTGATCGTCGATCAACTGGACCGCCCTCCTACATAAATAAAATGAAAAATTATTCAATAAATTTATACATCGATCATATTCAATAAATTATATTTCATTCACATACCCAATCTCGGTCCAAGCTCGGATCAGGCATCTTCTCGTCTGGGGTGTGCGGAACGCCTAAATCCCTCACAAAACCCCGAGCCTCCTCTTCCATCGATGGCGTCAACTCAGGTATGACTTCAAGCTTACATATTGACATTTCAACTATTTAACGATCATGTAAACAAAATTTTAAACTACGTATAATATAAATCACAAATGCATAATACTTACCTGAGGATCGTCGAGGAGGGCCGATAACTGTTTCCCAGTGGGACATCCCTCCGCTCGCGATGATCTCCAATGATGTATCCGAGGGCAGCATGTCTCCCCTCGCTGCGCAAAGCGGGCTCCCAGTACAGGAACTGTCTCATACACCCAAATCTGTAACACATACACTTATTAAGCACCAATGTAATATAGTAAAACTTTAACTTTGATTATATTAAACATTTACCTGCACTGCTAACGGCAATCCATATGTATCGTATTTACGCATCGACCCCCTGGGCCTCGAGTGCGATCTGGTGAACACATGTACGGTGTCTTCGTAGCATCTTCGGCCCCACGGATAGTTGTTGAACGCATCGATGTCATCAACAACTTGCAAATGAAAAATATCGATGGCAGTCTTCTTGTGATGACACCTCATCACACTCTCGAGGATGTAGACCAGCCCAAGCTTCAATCTATCTAACATATGGTCGCACCCCCTGATCGCGACCATCAAGTCGGGTAGAAGCACCGACCCATGTCCCTGGAAGTACGTCTCGTACAGCCTACTGCTTCTCTCCATGGCTACATCGTCGCCCGTAATCTTCAGTCCAGTGATCAATGTAAACTCAAACATCGAGAAACTGACGACCTTGCCCCCGAGGTCGAACTGGATGGAATTGCCGTCGACTGGCCTCAGAAGCCGACATAGAAGTGCATCAATAATCTGTCCTGAGTACTGCACCTCTCGCAACTGGTACAGTGGCCACAAGAAGGACCGTCGTAGAATATCTCCGTGCTAATCATCGAGCAGCTCCAATACAGCAGTAAAACTCTCAAAACTACTGTTCCAAGTAGCTTTCACCGACATCCGTCTCAACTCTACATCTAAATGATACTCCATCCTGCAAAAATTCAAATGTTATAGTATTGAACAAGAGATAACAAAATAAAACATAATCTCACAAAATCAAGAGAACCGAACTCTAACTACCATACAATCACAAATATTACATTTGAAAAAATATATTTACAAAAAACAACAAATCAAATTAAATGTATTGTCAAAAAAATTAAAGAATATAGATATTATTTAAATAAATTAAAAAAATCAAAAATTTTCATAAAAGAACAATAAAAGGAACAAAACAAATTGTTAATTTCAAACAATATTATGTATTTAATTATTAAATTATATAAATAAGGAAATTATAAAAATTAAATAATTAAATAAAATAATTATTATTTGGAAAATATATTTACAAACAAAAAATTTCAAATTAAATACATTTTCAAAAAATGTAAAGACTATTTATATTATTTAAATAAATTTAAAAAAATAAATTAAAGATTATTTCATAAAAAAAAAAGGTACAACACAAAATTGTTAATTTTAGAATATTTGAATTATTAAATTATACAAAAGACAAATATAAAAATTAAATAAATAATTACTTTACCTTTTTTTAAAATTTAGACTATTCATATTATTTAAATAAATTTAAAAATATAAATTAAAGATAATTTCATAAAAAAATAGAGTCAACATTGTTAATTTTAGAATATTTGAATTATTAAATTATATAAAAGACAAATATAAAAATTAAATAAATAATTACTTTACCTTTTCAAAAAATGTAAAG